AGGGCCCAGCCCAAACCTGTCAGTCTTAACTCCTAGTATCCCTACAAGTGCTGCCCTTTAAGAGCCATTCTGACCACTATCGATAAACTAAGGGGGGGTGGGGGTCGGGGGGGTGGGGGCAGAACTCAGTCTATACGCTGAAGGGACAAGGAGGGAAGGGATAAAAACCAAGATACAAACTATTTTGTAATTTAGATTTTTTTCTCCCTTTCCTCAAATCTTGAGGCTTCAGGCCAAATGATAGCTGAGAAAAATGTAAAGGAAAATAATGGGCATGTATGTTCAAAATTCTATATTTAAATTGTTCATAATTTAATTAATTTTGCTAGTTCTATTAATCTTCAGAAGAGTAGCTAAATGCAAATGTAAGTGTCTGAAGGCATTGCAAATTATGCAGAAAAGTCTGAGTAAAATTCCAAGAATATGTATCTATATGCATCACAAATTACAATTTAAGGGCCTTTCCAAGAACATTTGCTTAATAAACAGGAACAAGAATGGAAATTTTTGCAATGCTAATTATTATACTACTTTCTCTTTCCAAATCGTACAAGATGCTTGGAGATATGTTACAGGTGTTCATTTGGAAGAGAAATAATCTTTAACATCTATTTCATGTGGAGAATGAAAGGTTAAAGAAAACGAAAGCGTGTGGCTCAGAAAGGGTGCTCCAGAATATTGTAAATATTAATGAGTGTTTGTGTAGTGATGGAAAGAAAACGTATTTACTCAAAGGAAACAAAGATCTTCATCACCTTAGTCCAGGAAATGGGTTGGAATAAGTACATGCATCATTTCAAAAGTAGAATATGAAGAGGCATGGTTTTGCCCAAGATTGCTTAAACTACTCTTTCATTAAGAAAGGGTATTATAATAGAAGTCCTTACCTCTGAAGTATTTACAGGAATAGACTAGAAAAGTTCTCAAGTGATATCCTGGCAGAACTGGCCTCAGGTCAGTTTAACAGAATATAGAGGTCAGGCAGGAATTCAGGAATGCTAGGGAGATCACATTTCTTCCACCCCTGGACGATCTGTACAGCCTTCAGTGTTCCTTTAATTGCTGTCCTGAATCTCCCCCTCTCCTTTTTTTTTAAAGGTAGAGGCATATTTCAGCCAGTTCTACGGTAACTAGTACAGGAACTTAGAAAACAATCCCCAATGGTTCAAGATGAGTAATAAAAAAACAACCTGTTGGACATTGCCAAAGAAAGTGAATGAAAGTCTCTCCTTGATCAAAATATTTATCCCAGATCTGTGCCTGTTTGTTGTTGCAATTCTTTCATGCTGGACCCATAGATGTGCCCAATAAATTCTGACTCCTTGAAATACAAGCCATGAAAAAAAAATAAAAACATGGACGTCATGTTGTGGTTTGGCAACTCTGCTCTCTGCCCCTACAATCTTGTGTAGGTAGATGGTGAAAAGCATTGGTTTCTCCACTCTGACTATTGAGCAGTGATGTGCCTAACAACTGAATTTCTTATGTGAGCCCAGACCAAGGATCAGTTGTCACTCAAGAAGAGAGCCCTGGGATCCTGGCCGCAGGAATACAGGGAGCCCATTGCACAAAGCTTGTATGAAATTCAACTCTGTGGAGCAAAGGTATTATAAACACAAGCAAATCATTATTTCAATCTTGTAAGGCTTGTTTTCCCTTCAAAGACAGTAGACTATGCCAATCTTTATTAAAAATGAAGAGCGAAATAAAAAGAGATTGCCTAGGCATGTAACCCATTCCCCATAGCCAGTGGAAGCACTATCATTAGAGTGTAGCTAGAATCATCTCTAACCCCTGTGGTCAGTTTTTGAGATACTGTCATAGCCTTACAGTTAACTTTTGGGAAGGAATAGGAAGTGGGTGCTAAACTTTATCTTAAACATCTGGGATGAGGATAAAATTGATTCAAGCTCTCTAGAAGGTGCTATGTTTCTTATTGTTTGAAATTCTGAGATTTGAACAGAACTGTACATTGAGTAGGGGTGTGCAATCCTTGGTGCCATTAAAGTGGCTTACATTGATACTGAATCCAAAAGTAACTTGCTTATTTACTTATTTTTATTTTTTTCTTATGTGTTCCTTTTCCTTCCCTCCTTCCCTTCCACTCTTTCTTCCTTTTCTCCTTACTTCCCTCCCTCCCTCTCTCCCTTTCTTTTCTCTATCTTTTCCTCCTTGTTTCTCTCCTTCCCTCTTTCCTCCCTGCTTTCCCTTTCTCCATGTCCCTCCTGTCCTCCCCCCCACCACCCCCCCACACACACATACTCCCATTCTCTCCTGACGCTGTCACTGTCAAATATTGGAGAAGTAGCAAGAGAACAGAATTGTTGTCTCATCAACACACTCGCCAGCAGGAGTTAAAGTATATTCTGGATTCCCCACTCCCCTGCCTACCATTCTTGAAATGTGATGGGAGGGTTTGCAACTCAGGAAACAGAACTGGTTCATTTGACCTAGCAGGTGAGTTTTTGGATTTCAAGCAACAAGACAACTTCTTTTTAGACTTTTTTATATTATCAATATTGATTTCTGAAGGAAACATAATTACTTATTTATTATATATTGACATTGTATAATAATTCTTTTAGACAATGATATCAATATTATTACTAATAATATGATTCTGAAAATAACAAGATTTTTATGTTTTATTTTGTAGGTTTTTTTAAAATTCTTTTTGTCCTTGCACTATATGCCACTGAGAAGGCAGTGTGAAATTATTATGCTGTATATCACTTGAAGTAACTCTCCTGTGTGATTAAGCCACCATAATAATCCACAGTTAGGTTAATTTATCCCATTTCATTTTAGTTTTTAGGTACTGATTTTTAAAATTATGTATAATTATATAAAACATTTACATATTTCCAAAATTACATCTACAAAATATAGTATAGACAAAGAAGCTTAGCTCTAAGCCTCTTGACCTCATTCTTTTTGCTCTATGTCCAATTATAGATAGCCTTTTCTATAGATAGTGACTTAATTTTCCATGTTTACATATGTGTGTGCACACACATATTTAATACATTCTGTTTTGGTTATTTGTTAGTTTATAAAAACTGTCAGACAACTAAGTTACTTGAAATAACAGTAATCATTTCATATCTTTCAGTTTCGGTGGCTCAGAAATTCTGTGAATCAGCTGAAGGGCTCAGCTGGACAATGTGAGCTGAGAGTCTCTCAGGCTTATAGTCAGATGCTATTTGAAGTTGGAGCAGAAAATGGAGTTGCTGGGGGCAGCTGGGCATCTCTTGATGTAAGTCTTGGGGCTTCTCCACATAGAGTCATTAAATGGGTTAGTTCAGGCCTCCTCACAGCATGGTAACTATCATGACAAAGATTACTGGGGAAATGCAGAAAGACTCAGGAGTCTACTTGAAGTAATCCCCACTGGCCAATGGACACTCTGAACATCAATAATAATAACTGTATCAAAATGCATCAGAAATATTTAAATCCATTGGTTCATAATGATATTAAATTTTAAAAAATCTCACTGGCTTTGTCTGTTTAGAAGATGCGAGAGAAACAACTAACTCAAATGGGAAAACTCAAGCATTTATTTTGCCTTTTCTAAATGAACACAGTCATCAGATTTGATGAGAAAAAGTTTCATTCTATAAAAGTTTTCTGATTTATGAATGAAAAATGCCCCACTAATGACAGAATTAGAGTATCACCATTTTACCACCCAAAATGTTATCATGTTAGAGTTGGCTGGTGTACCAGCTCTATCAAATTCTCTCTGCATCCATCTTCAGAGGCACATCCTAGACCCAGCAGTAGATGGCCTGAGTTGGCAGTTTGAGCCTCTCCTATTGTTATATTCTAAGCTCAGGTGGGATTCTCTGAAGTCTGGAGCCTCGTAAGGTTCACACCTTACTCTCCACTTCCATATGGGTACAAACTGCCCACCTGCACAGTGTGAACAGAAAAGGGAGGAGACTTCTGGGGCTTGAGGACCAGCTCTCTTCACTGCCTCTAGAGCTAATGCTGCCCCTGCCTCTGAGAACCTGAGACTCCAACTCACCAGGTCTTGGAGCCAATTTTTGGGAAGTGCATGAACCCCAAACCTCCTGATATAGTATATAGACCCTATATACTATATTGTAAACTAAATAAATATTCTATCTTTTCCTTCTCTATTATCTCTCATAACACCTCCTAAATAACGATGAACACTATAGGCATTTAATTAATAATTCAAGAATAATGGCTGAAATAATCAAAAAAACTTTTGTGTCCTTTGCCATTTGCAAGGGAATTTTCTACTAAAATCAGGTAAATTTTGCTGAAATCACTTCTTTTTTCACTGTTCCAATTTGCTTTCTTCGCCAACAAACTGAGATTAATTGATAACTGGGAATATCCAGTGTGATTCTATCAACCCTCAACACTTTCTGGTCCATTTTAAAAAATAAAACAAGCTCTTTCAACTCTGTCATGGCCATTCCCAGGTTTCTACGACCTTTGTCTATTAGAGTGTATGGCTTCAGTGTCATAATCAGTCCTCGTCATTTGCAGATTCCATATGTGCATCATGTCACTTTTCACAATGCCTTCCTTGTAAGATGTATTGAGAGAAAACTTTTGTGTTTATCTTTTTCAAAAGAAGAGGAGAGGTAAAAAGCTACAGGGCTCACAAAATCAACTCATGTGAGTGGGGTTCTTCGTGTTCTAGGACGGACCCAATGCAACCACGTAGAGAATTCCGATGGCACCCAGGAGCGTGTGCAGATGCAAACACATGCCTCCAAGGTGTCCACCCCACAACGTGGAGGAACAGAAAGCCATTTGGTGAAACTCTTTCTCAGAGCTCATAAACAATACAAGCTGTGACACGCTTTGCAAGGGGAGAGTTGCAACAGCAATGTTATGCTGTTTGTCTTCTCCTAGCCCTTGCCACTCTGAATTTACCTCATGTACTCATTCACTCATGGGCTGTTTGGAGTGGCGACATCCTGCCCTGCACCCAGTAGAATGATCCAGGAGAGCTTGCCTCTTCACCACATTCCTGCCTCAGCCTAAAGTTTGGCACATGGCGCATGCCCCATAAGTATATGTCGCATGAATGAGTATCAAAACAAATAGGTACCAGGAAACACTGGAGAAATGGCCTGTCTTTAGTGCATACATCGAAGAGAAAAAGAAGTCCAGCTTCAGCTTGCCCATCAACTGGCTGTGGAAGTGCCATCGGTTAATTAATTTCAATCTCAGATCACCTGAGTGTAAAGTAAGTCATTTAATCAGTTCGTCCTATGTACCACGAAAGAGAAGTGTGGGAAAGTTTTTAATTGGTCTGGAAAGTTACCTGTGGAAACCTCTGTTCATTTATTGTAATGGCAGATGTGAGGAATTCTGAAAAATTGGTGTATAATTTTAGAACAATTCTCCTATGGTTAATTTGAACCCACATTTAGGTATGACTTGTATGATAAAAAAGAACAATATCATCTTTTTTTTCTCATCATCACCTAATAATCTCATGAAGAAACATGAGGAAAAATTAATTAACTATATATAGTATCTGTAAGATTAGTAGGTAGGATAATGAGTGAGAAACAGCGACTTTCATAGAAGGAAGAACAGTATTCTATCTATTATGTTCTTTGATATTGCCATAATTACTCTTTTAAAATCATATATATTAAATCATTTCATAAGGGCCTGCCATTTAAAGGGGAGCACTTATTACATTCAAACATAGGTACTAATACTTTCTTACTTTGTAATGTTTCATACAATAGTCGCCTCCTATCCCCATACAGCACCAGTAAAGGTAAGTGGAAGAACTAAGATGAAAAATGTGTCAGATACTGTACTTTATCCTTCACCTCCTCCCTCCCCCCCCCCAGGACAAATCTAGTTCTTACAATGAATATTTCCCCTGTAAGATAATGTGGCTTCTTTTTTGCATAAGGTGAGTAAACATCGCGAATGCACGAGTGCCCCCTTGGTGATATATTAGTTTTGTGCTGGCTTTTAATGTGTGTGGCTGGAGTCAAGTTGACATTTCTTCACAAATACAGCACTTTGTCATCAGCTTTATGAGATAAGTGACGTCAGTCTGCAGTTGATTAATAGCCAGTGATCAAAAATCAGTTGTTTTTGAGTGGCATACCATTGTAATAGCATCTAGAATATGCCCAGAAACCCCAGGGCAGCCAGTGCCAATGTCCATCTGTGTTGGTGATGAGGCATTCCTTCGTCACTCTTCCCGATCTGTAAAGCCTTCTAGAAAACACACTTTCTGTGAAATCTAGGTTGTCAGCATAAAAGGAAAGTTGGCAGAACATAGGGTTCTGTTGCTAAGCGATCCTTGGCAAATATGATACGTGTACGTTATGGCATTTGATGACACCTTCAGGAAAGGAGGGAATCCAGCTCCATGAAAATGAGCAATTTCTGAAAGATGGGTGAAAGCCACAATTGCCCAGGGCTGGGAGTCCGTCCTGCCTGTCTGAGAATCTAGGCTGAGATCACCTCAATTGGGAGATAACATTAAGTTTTACTTAGTATGTAGTTTAAGAACTTTCTGCCTGTGTCTACTCTTGTCTAACCTTTGTACAGGAGAGAGTAATGGTTGTGCTGTTTCCATTTATCACTGTGTCAAAGGGGACGTTTAGTAATAGCCATATGCCCAGGTGAATAGATGCTTCCAGGGCTTCTTGAGTACAAGAGTGTAACAGAGAAGGAAAAGAAAATTATTTACTACTACTACATGGACTGTGGGGAAAACATCTGGTAAAATGCCATGGGTCTTGTGCTTTGGAAGACCAAGGTCCATTCAATTAGACTAAAGGAGGCTCTGAGATCAGCTAGTCCAATCTCTTATTTTGCATATGAGGAGACCCAGGTGCAAAGGGGTTAATGGATGGCCCACAGTCAGTCACACGGATAACCGGATAACCGATGGCCTGCTGGGACCTGAGTCTAGCCCTGTAACCTCCACAGGGCATCCCTCAGCACATGGCCATGTCTCTGTAAATAAAGTACCTGATAAAATATAGAATAAGCTGTGAAAATCACAGAACCTTAATTTATTATCACTTTAATTTCAATGAAAGTTAAACTTAATGATCCAGCAAAGATTTGTTCAAAATTAGAGAAACACGAATGACAGATTTGATTACAGTATCACCAGCTTGCCTAGTGGAGTTTCCACAACCACTCTCATGAGCTCTGTTGTCTCGATTGGTTTGATTGTGGATATTTTCTCCTGATTTTAACTAAATAAAGTCATAATTCCTGGGCCAGTTGTTCTCGGTAAGAGTTGGCACCTTCTCCAGACATTCTCAATGCTTCAACCTGACAGATACACCCATAGAACAGTAGCCCTTTCTGCATTTTTCTGTCTTAACATTACATTCTTAGATAAATCTGCTTCCATGTAGGAACTGTGGCACACACATGCCTTGAGACGGTCATGGAGATAATCAGCAATCAGGAAACTTGACAAGAGTAAGCTGAAATTTGCAACAGGACAGAAGACATTTTAGAACAATATGTAACTCTGAAAAGAACACATTCTCTAGTAAACCAACATGGGCCTGACTTAAAAATTGCTTGATTAGGTGTGTGTTCACCGTCCATGGCATTTTGATAGGGCCTACTTACCAGAAGTAGTAACTGAAAGCCCTCTATATTCCTTAGTCCTTCACAGTCAGTGCTCTTAAAGTTGTGTTGTTAACAAATAGGAAAATCCCCAAGGCAAGGCTTGTTTGAAGGCTATATCAGAGTTTCATTCAGGGGCCTTGAGACTTACTGGCTCATTCTCTGGAGGCATTTAGACCCAACTGGGTTGGAAGCCTGGCTGTTACACAATGTAAAACTGGACACGTGACAGTCTCTCTACATTTCAGTAAAAAAAAAATCATCTGTAAAATAAAACTACCAGGTTATAATAAGGGTTAAGTGAGTTAATATGTGTAAAGTTCTTAACACAATCAATATTTACCATGTGTTCATCTGTAGAATTAGGATAAGGAAAATACCTACCACATATGGCTATGGTGAGAATTAAATGAAACATGTAGGTAAAGTGCCTAGAATATGCTCAATAATTATAGCTAAAATAGTGATGATAATAGTGATGATGATGAACTTCCATTTTAGTGAATTAAAAAGATTATGGAGTCCATATCAATACCATCTGTCCCCAGTCACCCCACCCTTACTATCTAGATTCCTGTTGATCCAGTTTAGCTTTCTTGTAAGAAGGCTTACCCAAGAGATTTGTAGAAGAAAAGTGTGCCTAACTTGAAAATAAATATTTAACAGGTCATTCTTCAGTCTCTGAGATCTGTCTCTACATCACTTCAACCTGCCCTGAATCTGTGTGATCACATTACAAGCTATACATTTCATATCAACAAAAAGGTGTTTCATATCTTAAGAGTATGTTCTTTTTTCCATGGGCAGGTCAATAGAAATTATGGAATAATATAGTTTCCAAGTCAAGTAGTTTAGCTTAGCAAAAGAAAGCTATAATTGGAATCAATTAGTTTACCACTATTTTCAATTCACAAGTAAAATGCATTATCAAAACTTCTAAAAATTACTTGCCTGTATTCATAATCATCAAATGAAAGGAAGCAGGTTCTGTCATCAAAAAGTTCACCAGTTTGGTGCTTTTACAAACAAGAAAACAATTGTAGGTTTAAGGCCCAATTATCGCTGCTCGTTTAAAATTTCACAACCAAAATTTGTAAATCCATCTGATTTGAAAGCAGTTAGTATTTAGTAAATAATAGTAATTACTTTTTGCATTTTGTACAAACACTTCCAAGAAGGATCAACTCTGTTTTAAAGTACTACTGATCTGGAATTAAAAATCATTTAAATGTTTACTCACCAGAGGTGAGAAGGGGAAAAGAGAAAGTTAGAGCAAGGGAGACGTGTACTAAGGAGAAGTGTTCCCATGTATTCATTAATTTCTTTTAAAACTGGAGATTCTGTTAGGGGAGACTTTATATGTATCTCAGATTTTCTCAATAGTTTAATTAACAGGGAAATAAAGAGATGAGCAAAGTAATATAACTTAAAAGAGACTTAAAAGATAAATTAATTTATTTTAAATAGGCAAGCCTAATGAATAACATGTAGAGATCATAGTTGGGTGAATAAATCATAAAGATTTGCAAGAAGTTACTGCCACAAAAGTCAGGGTGCAGGGGGTTTTTGAGGGACACATGGAAGGGTTCTTAAAGGTCTATTTTGTACCTGAGTGGTGGGTAGTTCACTAAGCTATAACTTTATCCTGGGTGATTTTCTAAATATTGGATTTCTTTTACAGTAAAAGTAGTTTTTAAAATTTATAATGCAAAAATAAAAGTTACTATGAAATATAATATATACTCATCCCTGTATTTATTGAGCAAACATATAAAGAGCACTTTGGATGTGCTAGGCACTGGCTCTCCACTGAATATTGTCCCTGTGAGAATGCCTAAGGGAGCCAGAGGTGAAGAGTGAGATTGAAGCTTGGGAAACTTCACCCTGGCTGGTGTGGCTTAGTTGCTTGGGCACCATCCTGTGCACGAAAAGGTTGCCGGTTTGATTCCCTCAGGGCACATGCCCAGGTTGCAGGATCGATCCCTGGTAGGGTGCGTCCAGGAGGCAGCTAACCCATGTTTCTCTCTCACATCGGCGTTTTTATCTTTCTTCTCCCTCTCCCGTTCTTTCTCTCAAAAATCAATAACAATGTTTTAAAAGCTTGGGAAATTTCAGAAACCTGGGATCACATCTAGTTAAGTGGTTTTCTAGATCTTGCTCAGTATTCCAACCAATCTGAAAACAGAGGTAAGATGTTTACCTCTGATGCAAAGTAAGCATGGCCATTTGTAGGTGTAATGAAACCAATTCTGAACACACTCACCCATAAGACACTCACCTGCAAGGTTGGGAACAGGACAGGTGTGCTGTTTAATCCCACATTCCATAGACCAGGGGTCCTCAAACTACGGCCCGCGGGCCACATGCAAATACAAATATTGTATTTGTTCCCGTTTTGTTTTTTTACTTCAAAATAAGATATGTGCAGTGTGCATAGGAATTTGTTCATAGTTTTTTTTTTTAAACTATAGTCCTGCCCTCCAACGGTCTGAGGGACAGTGAACTGGCCCCCTGTTTAAAAAGTTTGAGGACCCCTTCCATAGACTTTTGACTGGTCACATCTCTAATTAAAATGCAGCAGAAGATATAGAATAGCCAAAGTTTCCACCAGAATATTTC